ATAATTTATATATGAGGGGGTTTCAGAAAGTTCATGGAATAATAGAAATAAAAGATAATGGGATTTTCTCATGAACTTTATAAAGCCCCATCATAATGTGAAGATTTATAATTACATTTTTTAAAGCCCCAAATAAGAGACTAAATTTAAAGTACCAACACACTGCTTTACTCAATCGTGGGAGAAAGATGAGGCTTTCTGCTCTGGTAAAGATTTACAGCCTCGGAAACCCTGTACAGGGTCGCTATGAGTTGGAACCGACTCCACGGCACATAACAACCACCACCAATAATAAAGTTGAAGGAATGAGAAATTCAGAAGGGGGGCATCCAAAGAGCCATGACCTATCAATTTTTATTATTACTACTAGAGAATTATGACTTCGTATTTTCCTAGCACCAACATTAAGTGAAGTGCTGTACAGGCAGGTCACAGAGAAAATTTTTTGACATCTTTTGGTAGTCAAAACACAATGTACTAGTGATATCATTTTTCAAGATGGTTTTAATGAGATTCATGTTATGTAAATTTTAAACATTGTTGAAGATCTGCCTTCTCTTAAAATCAAGCCGGATCTGGAATTTCTTCCTTGACTTGGCTCATGTTTTTATTATGAATTTTAGTGTCTATCACCAAAAAGATAAACTATATCGCATGCTCAGGATGCCAGTGCATTTTTGAAGTCTATCCATCTCTTATGTAGTTTTTGTATCATTTTCTTTTTTCTATACTTTTCTTGTCCCATAGGCTATTGTACAATCCATTTTCTAGGATCTTCTCTGAATACTACATACAAGGACCAATTCTGATCTTCTGCCAGACTTTGCATAGTTGAAACCATATTAGGCTATTCAAACACTCCAAATGGGAATCCCTAAATTGCCAGTAAAATACAGAGAAATCACCACTGGTTTGGTTAAAGATATAAAATTATTACTAGTTTCAATAAAGTGTTCCACTGAATTAGAAGAATTAATCCAAACAGCATTGTTTACATCTTATTGCCTCTTAGCATTTGTACTCATAATCACGATTAGTGTTGATGGAGTTCTAATGAGCTTTTTTATCCTATATTTTATTAAAAATATTTCTGTCATGCATCCTTGTGGGAATGTTCACAAAGTCAAAACCATTAGTAAGTAAACTTTAGATGTGAAAGAGAATGGGTTGAGACTTGGGGGTAAATTATTTCCCCCACAAATCCTTTAGTAATAAACTAAACAACTCTGATTATAATCTGACCCAGCAATAAAGATTTTTTTAAACACAAGGCCCTTTAAAATAGGTCAGTTCACTGGAGCACAAAGACATAATAGTAACTTTCTTGAGTTTCTTTGTTCCTTTTTATTATTGTGGAGGACTTAATTGCTTTAACAGCTCTGCATGATATTTTTAAAAATCCAGTGATATTTTGATCAGGGATTGAGGTTACATTTATGTTTTATAGTTGGCTCAAAAAGGCTCATAACATTTTATTTCAGTTTCTCTTCTCAAGAAAAAGAAATCTTGAAAGATGAATTGTTTAGGAACTGCAGCCCAGCCAACAAAATGCATACGTTTCTCTACTTTATAAGGACTTTGGACTGGATAGGCCAAAGATGATGGTGGATTTTAACAATGAGTTTTCTATGATTTATAGAGATTCACTATTCACTATGTTTGACTGCAAAGCATTCCATGGCCTTTAGATGCCAATAGAGTAAAAAGTCTCATGTCATTCTGAAGCACTAGGTACTACTGATCGCTCAGGAGATGGTGTTTACCAACTCCCAATATTTTTTTTCAGATTTCTTAAACTCGGTGATTCAATAAGTGGTTCATGAATCGCCCAGAAGCCGTCCTGATTAAATAATAAAGAACCTATTTCCGTTAAAATGGACGTGTTATGCCAGCTTCTGATGTTTTCCGACGACGGCTTTGCAGGTAGTGTCCTTCCTATCTGCCTGCGGGACTTATTTATCTATTGATTTATTCAGAAAATAGAGAAAGATGAATCTGGTATTATGGCTCACCTCAGCGATGGCTATGGGCTAATGTACCAGGCAGTGGAAGGAAGCCAGAAGTAATTTAGGCCCGTTTTCCTTACGTTTTCTACCACTTAGAGATAGGGCAGAGTAATTTCGTACCGTTTTCAACAATTCTGGGGGCTCTGTGAATCAACTCTTGCTTTGTTTAAATTAAAGCCTGTTAAATTGTTTGAAATGCCGGAGATCCATGAGAAAGTTTCCTGTAGTTCCAAATTATATACAGACTAGCCGTTTTCACAGCAAGTGTGGAAGGTGAAAACATTAAGAGGCAATTTTTTGGTTGAAGGTGAACTAGGAAAAGTGAGAGTAGAACTACAAGAGAAGTGAAATAAGATGACTAAGGCACTTATTTCAAGACACTCAACATTTCCTCTCCAGCTATTACTTTCAAAGGTTGATGCCAGTGTTTAATACCGGAAATGATCTCTATTGGTGGGACCTTTTTTTTATCTGGAACTCAAAGAAAGAATTTGGCAAATAGGTTTCTTTTCCTTCCACTTGTCTGATATGTCTTTTGGGGACTTCACTCTAACCATAAATATCTCTGATAAGCCATAATTACATATCAAAAAAAAAAAAAGAAGACGACAACTAAGTAAAACACTGTTAGTATAGTAATTGTATCTTGGAACCTTCAAGTTCATCTGCATTTAGGTACCTCAGTTACATAGAGGGCAGCAGAGATAGATCTAATTTGGAATAACTCATTTGTTAGTTTCATGATGATTAATAGAACAATATTAGAAAATAGTAGGTAAGGAACTTGATGGTACTAAGCCTGATTGATTTTTGTTTAATTTAGGTAGAATATGAGTCCTGGTAGTGTAGTGGTTACGAATCGGGCTGCGAACCTCAGGGTCAGCAGTTCGACACTACCAGCTGTTCCGCGGAAGAAAGATGAAGCATTCTGCTCCCGTAAAGATTTACAGCCTCGGAAACCCTGTACAGGGTCTCTATGAGTCGGAACCGACTCCACGGCACATAACAACAACAACAACATGGCATTGTAGGATTGGTACTAGACTGCTAACTAATCAGTTGGTGGTTAAAACTCACCAGCTGCTCCTCAGAAACCCTATACAGGGTTACAATGAGTAGAACTGACTAGATGGCACTTAACAATAACAACAACACAACAACTTTGAGGGAAAAAGAATAGAAGATGTCATTAATGTTAATTTGTTGTTGTTAAGAGACTATTACGATATGGGCTGGGTTACTTAGAATGATTTATTTTTTAGGTTGACCCACTGTATTATAGACTGAAAGTCTATGTTTAAAGTCTAATTATTTTAGTAAAAATAAACACAGGGGAACACTTTGGTTGGTTGATGATGCATGAGGGGATTGTAACCATGGCAGTGAAATGATAAACGATAGGATGAATGTAAAACTAATGTTCTTCCATGTAAACTATCACATTATTCACAATAAAACATTAAAAAAAATAGAAAATCACAATTAAAAGTATGTTTTCATGTGTTCTGCAAAGAAAGCCAACAGCACATATTTTATGTTTGTTGTTGTGGCTGTGTGCTCGCAAGTCGATTCCTCCTCATAGTGACCCTGTATAGGGTTTCTGAGGCTAGAAATCTTTACCAGAGTAGAAAGTCTCATCTTTCTCCCACTGAGTGTCTGGTGGATTCAAACTGTTGACTTTATGGTTAGAAGCCCAATGCATAACCCATCACACCATCAGGTCTCCTACATTTTCCAT